GATGAACCCGAATCAATATTCGAAGTTCCCTCTTACTACCCGCACAACAATAGGTCCACCATAGCCATGGCTTCCCCCTTCTTTTTCCTCTCACATACCAAGGCTATGACGGACTACCAGGGGCTCTGCCCTCTTGTGCAAAGCACAACACAAAGCAGCTATGTCGTTGCTCATCAGTCCGCCATGCCTGACTCTGCCTCGAGCTTCCTTGGTGTAGCACTACCCCAACTAGGGCCTTCCAGATGCAGCGCCTATCAAGGTGATGAAGACGGTGTCCACCATAGCCAGGTTGGTACCTCGCCACTCTCCTCCTTCGGCCCCTTCTTCCTCCTCCTCAGGCCGGGCTGCTTGCCATAGCCAGGCTGAGCGCCCAGCTGCTCTCCTTCCTCCAGGCAGCGCTCCAAGTCCAGCGCTTGGCTCCAGCAGTATGTCACCAATCCTTGCACACTGCAAATGAGGAGGAGCTGCTTACTGATCCCGAAGATATAGCGGCCCACTTGTCGACTCCTACCGACCTGCGATGCTTTGGCCTACGAACCCTAAGACCTATCCTTTGGGACAGCCTGAGACCGGGACTGATTGGGTCCTTGGGACCGAGACTTCTGGTGCCTAGCTGTGTGAAATCCTTTTTTGTTTTTATATATATATTACCAATAAGGAAATTGAGGCCGGGGTCCTCACAGTCTACCCGGAGTGACAGAACCGAACTTGCTGAGAACCGGGCTCAGCGTCCCTCATATGATGATGATGATGATGATGAACTCCTGCTGATTCTATGTGAAATGTGAGATAATCATACTAATGATGATAATGATTAGTGTATACAAAACTTATAGAAGACTATGCTATATCAGCAATTCTGGTCTCCTAATTCTAGAACAACTCCTAGCACTCCCTGTACCAGGACATTGCAACTCAGAGACAATACCAACCTTATCAACATCAACCATAGCCGACCTCATCTCGCCACCTAGACTATCCCTGGCCCCATAGGTTGTCAAGGCAGCCCACCCAGTTTGCCACTGGATTGCCTTCCTCCCTCAGCAAACCCCAGATCTCTCTACAAGGCCTTACACTCCTGCCATTTGCAGGTTAAAGGGCAACGCCCCAGCTCCGGCCAGCGTCGTTCTGGCATCGGCAAACCAGGGGCACAGAACAAAGCAACTCTATAGACATCAGTCCAGGTTTGACCATCTCTGAAATCCTATATCCTGACTGAGGAAGAAGGCCAGATGCTGCCAAAAATTTTAAATTTCAGAACACCAGAAAGCTTTTTTTTTTTTTTTAAACAAATGCTCCAGTCTTTTCATTGGGAGCAGCACGTGCTGGGAACTGGGCCCAGCGTCCCATATCGAATTGTACAGATCATTGAGAACATTTGTGATCGTTTGAGATCATTTCAGATACTGGGGCCATTACCCGGCTTCGGCTGAGAACAATCTATGAACACGATGTGATTCAGAAACATGGGGAGAATAAAGAGTGTCTAATGACCTATTAGGGAACTACTCATGCAATAACCTGCCACAGAGGTCCTACGAATGCTCACAACCCTCAGGTTCCCTAACAAACCCTTCTAAGACTTCCCAACACCGTCTTACTCCCTGCTGAGGTCTTCCAGGCCTCACGCCCCCACCCTGCTGGGTTACAGGGCAACACAACTCGCCCCAGCTCCGACCAGCGTCATCCCAGCAGCAACCCTTGGTCATCCCTTGGGATGCCCACCCCAAAGCATCCCAGATCTCTCTACCAGGCCTCACGCTCCTGCATCAGCAGGTTACAGGGCAACACCCCAGCACCGGCCAGCGTCGTTCTGGTATCGAACAGCCGCAGATCACTGGGTATAACAGCATCGAAACCGCCTAAGATGGATTGCTAAGAGAAAGTTTTTTTTTTTTTTTTTTTTTGAAAAGCCCTGTGATATCCCTCTATACTGGCGGCGGTAAATTAATATAACATGATTGAAAACTATCATTTAACTATGGGATTCTTATTTTTTTTAGCAAACCTAGTCATCCCTTATACCAAACACACAACCCCAGAGACAATACTTTCCTAACCAATGCCAGTCACAGCTGATGTGATCTTGCCACCAAGACTATACCCTGCCCTTTAGGTTGTCAAGGCTGACTCCCCCCAGTTCGCCACTGGATTGCCTTCCTCCCTCTACTAATCTCTAGATCTCTCTACCAGGCCTCACGCTCCTGCTACCAACAGGTCACAGGGCTAACGCCCCAGCACCAGCCAGCGTCGTTCTAGCATCGGCAAACCAAGAGCCCGAAACACATTGGCTTTGCAGACATCTGTCAGGATTCTACCATCTCTAAAACCATGTATTTTATATCAAGGGAAAACTAGATATCGCCTAGGATTGCAAAAAAACAGGTAAGCTTGATATAACATAATTAGTGCTTACACCTAAGATTAGCCTCCTCCCTCCCCTCCTTTCCATCATGTCCCAACGCCGCCTCGCCAAAACGGATTACCCAGATTGTAGGCAACCCATCACCGCCCCAACTTGGGACAGTCCCACCTTCCCCACCCTTATCCCACTAAGGCATACGGCTCCCTCCCAAAGTATGCATCTGCCCACCTTTTACCTAATCTGCCTCCGCTGGTGTGAGTACCCCCACCCCAACCCTAGAATAAGGCAACCCACTAGTTTTGCTCGCACCCCCTCCAGGGCTTCACCTCCCTCCTGGTGTCGCCCGTGCAGAGCAAAGCTCTCCCCTGTTCACCCCACCTTCCATCCATCGAAAATAAACGTCGATGCTCAGAGAGGAGAATATAGATACCAGAAACACAACTGGCATTTCGAACCAAAGAAAAATACGCTGAAGAAATTTCGAGTAATTTTTGAAGACGAGGATTTTGCAATCGAATTAGATAAGAGTCAGGTAATGGAAGCAAATGCAGCGAAGATAAAACATGGAAAGTGATACAGATTGTAGATTCAGAGATTCTAAATTTAGGAATTTAGGTATTAAAAAATACCAATCCGCTTAGTTCTAGGAGTTGAGAGTTACGATGATTCTGAGAATGATTTTGGAATAATCAGAAATATTAAAACGGCTTCACCCAATTGACCTTGTACTGCAGTCACAGAGATTCGATCCCTAGACCTGTGCCCTAACCCTATACATTGACCCTGTGTGCTGAGTGAGATTCGATCCCTAGACCTACCCTGTACCTGCACATAGACCCCGTGACCTGAGTAGGATTCGATCCCCAAACCTGTCCTACGACTTAGGTTAGTCTGTAGTTTGGTCAGTAGGACTTGATCCCTAGG